CCAGCCCAGTTTAACCCTGGAAAGTCACACTGAGTCAGGATTTGCCCTGGTAAAATTCACCATGAAAAGCTCCCACAAAACCTTTGATTGCTCTGGTCCTGTTTAGGTGATGAGTAATAACCAAGGTGGGTAATAATCAAATTAATTGCTTAATGAGCTACAACTCCTCTGGTTTAGGATTACACTCAGGCTTGCTCCTTTTCTTCCCAGAAATTTCTGCTGTTTTTCCTTGGGCTCCTCTAATTTCCAGCAGCCAAAATCCAAGGAAAGGAAGTGCAAAATTCCTCTTTTTCCTGTCTGGATCCCCCAGACAGATCCATTATCCCATTAAATACCTGAATGCCCAAAGTCTTTTAAATGGAAACAAAAAATCAAATTATAATAAACAATCGAAAGAGCAGAGAATGTACAAATCCCAACAGCAAATTAATGTAACACGGGAGGGTCACATTTGGTTACACAAAGACTTCAAAGATGTTTTCAGGAAGCTCCAGAGGAAAAGGAATTTTCCCAAGTGCTGCAGGTCTCTCCCACCATGGGCTGGTGAAGAATTCCTGAAGAACATTTGGTTTTCAAGGCGCTTTTTTGTGGCTTCCAAGGTGTTTCTTTGTGGTTTTCCAGGTGATTCCTTCTGGTCTGGTGTGGGTTATTCCCTGTATCCCACCTTCCACCCTCAGCTCCTGCCCTTTGGAATTCACATTTCCACCACATTTCCACTGTTCACCCCACACTTCTTGATGAAGGAATTCAACACATTTATTCCATATTTAAATTTAAACTGATTAATTCAAGGTGACCTGATGCCAGAGGCGATCCATGATGTGGGAATTCCTCGTGGACTGGTCTCCACCTTGCTGTGAGCATTCCAAGGATCAGCTTCCCTGGTTTTGTGTTCAGTATCCAGTAATTGGGATTTAACACCCCACAATTCCCACAGAAACCCCAGCACAGCAAAGGTTTGCACAGAACCAACAGATTAGGGAGGAAACATGAAATTGCTCAGGAATGCAGGTAAGAAAATTCCCTCTTTACACAAGTAAACCTTTCATTTCCATGAAACATTCACAGAGATTTGGACACACCAATTCTGTTCATCCATGACAGCACACTGGGAGTGGGAATGTTGTTCCTGTGCTCCTGACTCAGACAGGGATATTGAACATGGAATTCTTGCAGTTTTGTTTCATCCCTGAAAGTTTGTGATCCTCCAGTTCCTAACCTGATTGTAGTATCTGCTCCTGGCTGAATTTTGGGGAAAGAACACTGGTTTAACCCAATTTCCTCAGTTTTAAGTGATCTGATTTCTTTGTGTCACTGACAAACCCCTATTTCCTTGAATCTCCACTTTCTGCTTATGCGTTTTAAAAACTTTTAATATTTATAGGTGGAAGACGTGCAGCATTTTGTAAGAACTACAAAGATAAAATGTTACAGAAGCAGTGGAGACCAGATTTGGGAGAATTTTTCATAATAAAATTACCAATAACTCCTTGATAACTGCATTTCCTGTATATTCCCCAACAAGCACATGATTTGTTAACACAAAAGGAGAATTTTACTATGAAAGACCAAATTGGAACACTTTCCTTATTACTAAATGATGATCAAAACCTCCTTTAGAGCTGGAAATGTGTGTGCATTTCCTGTGAGAAGTGTGTGTCAATCAGCAAGATTTCACTCATTAAGGATTCCTCAATCTGATGAGGCCACTTCTCCTTTTTGCAGCCTCAGCACTCCCAGGTATTTCTGTATCAGATGCTTTGGGCACAGCCAGGAATTTGTCTGAACACACCACGTAAGTGAGAACCCCTTCTTGTTAACACCAAGAAACCACTTAGCAAAGCCCAAACCTAACCTGTCTCGTGGCCCTGGCAGGAAATGAAGGGGAAATTTCAGCTCTACAAGCTACAGCTAGGAAAAAAAAAGCCATTAAAAGAGACAAAATAAAGACAAAATTTTGATTTGTGTGCTGGCGGGGAGGGAGAGAGAGATGTGCATAGAGGCATAAATATACTAAATATACCTTCCCCTCCTCAGCGTTCTGTTGGCATGAATTGTGAACCTCTTCCTCTCTGCCAAGTTTGCCAGGCCAGGAGGTGAGTCCTTTGATCTGGCCCCAGACCAAGTCGCCCACGTTAAACGTCCTGGGCCTGTAGTGGATGAGCTCGTGGGACGAGGGCGACTCGGGGTTCCGCAGCTCCTCCTCGCTGCTGATGCTCTTAGCATCCGAGGGGCTGGGCACGCACCCGTTAATGCTTTTGGCATTAAAATCTCCATTGTAATGGATGTAGTCTTTCACTAAGGAACTCTCCAAGCTATTGGAGGAGCTGGGGGATTGCTCTTCCAGGATCAGGTCTTGTTTGGAAGCGTTGAGCAATTCCCCGAAGGCCCTGTTGGGCTGCGGGCGGTTCCCGTTGATGTGTGCACATCGTTCCACAGTGTTCTCCAGCCTTTCCTTGAAGCTCATCATAGTTCTTTTGTAATTGTTATACCTGAAATTCTCCTCCAGCGCCTTCTCGCTCTGACAGTTCCGCGGCGCCAGCAGGGCCTGGTGCTGCTCCCCCTGCAGCAGCGCCGAGGCGTTGTTGGGCCTCTCGTGGCACGGGCTGCCGTGGACGTGGCCCGAGTGCTGCTCCAGGAACTCCTCGCATTTCCACCTGCCCATCTCCCCCCCGGGGCTCTGCTCCCCTTCCCACTGCTTTTTGGGCGTTTTGTAATACTCGTAGCCGTCCCCCTCGCCGGGGCCGCCCTTGCCGTGCTCGGCCGCGTTCTTGGGGCCCCGCGCGCCGCGGCCGCCCCGGGCGCGCCCCTCGTGCACGGCCCCGCACAGGTTCAGGTTCAGGGGGTCCCCGATGGAGGCTGTGAAGGCACTCATGGCACTCAGGGCGGGGATGGGGCTCGGCTGCGCGGCGCTGGAGCCGGCCGTGGTGATCACCACCGGCACGCCCTTGCTGGCCGCGTCCACCACCGCCTTGTAGATGGCGTCCACCGAGGCGTCGCCCGCGGCGCTGCCGGGGGCGTCCTTGGCCTGCGGGCCCAGGGAGGGGTCAGGTCTCTGCTGCAGCTCGCAGGGGGGCTCCTGGAAGGGAGGAAGGAGAGCGTTGGAGCTCTCGGGAAGCGGCGCCATGCCCATCTGGCTGATCATCCTTTTGTTGAGGACGGCGGCGTCTTCCTGCATCCTCACCTGGGGAAAGGAGAGACAGCGTGGGAATGGATGCTGGAACTCCAGCTGGATTTCAGCAGATAAACTCTGTGCTCATTCACTACAGCACATTTCCTTTTGTTATACACCAGGTACAAACTGAACAAGGTAGAGAGAGAATTAAAAGCCTGTTTAGAGGAAAACAAAGCCACTGTGTCAGGCTTTGTGTCAGCAGGCTCCTGTTCTCTCTCAAGCCCTAAACACCAGGGTCAGAATTCCTGATACAGAGACACAGGATGGTTTGGGTGGGAAAGGACCTCAAACCCACCCAGTGCCACCCCTACCACAGGCAGGGACACTTTACACTATCCCAAGCTGCTCCAAGCCCTGTCCAACCTGGCTGTGGACATTCCAGGGGTGCAGGAGCAGCCACAGCTTCTCTGGGTACCCTGTGCCAGGGCCTGCCCCCACCAGCCAGGAATTCCTTCTCAATATTCCACCTCAATCTCCCCTCTGGCAGTTTGAACCCATCCTGATCCATCCCTCCTTGTCCTGTGCCTCCAGTCCCTCTCCAGCCTCCCCACAGCCCCTCCAGCCACTGGAGGATGCTCTGATGCCTCCCTGAACCTTTTCTTCTCCAGCTGATCCAATCCAATCACAGCCAGGTGGGCTCTGTGCATCTCCAGAGGAGCAGAGACCTCAACAACAAAACCCCTGAGTTCTGCTCTCAGCTCCTCTTCCCTCCTTCCCAGACCCCAGCACTGCCTCTGTCCCTGTGTGCTCCTCAGGGAATTCCTGAATTGCTCCACAATCCTATTTTCCCCTTTGCTCTGTGCCTTTCCCATGGCATCCCCAGTCCCCAGTATCCCACACCTCTGTGCTCTAAGCTGGGAGAAATGGACTTATAAATAATTTTTAAAATTTGATAGAAAGTTTATATAGTTTTGTATATTTGTATGTGAATATTGAGATAAGGTGTGTTGGTTTAAGAAGATCATTATCTGTGGAATAGAGATGATATTGCTGGGAAAAAGATTGAATTAGAAATAAGTTGTAATATATGGTTTTGTAAAAAGATTCTATATTTTAGAGAATTAGAATTGTGAAAGATGTACTGTAGTAAGATTATGTGGGAAAAGAACATGATTAGTGTTAGAAATAATAGTAATATTGTGTAGTAAAAGTGAATAAGTTAAAAAATATTTATAAAGTATTGTAACTAAGAAATAAGTTGGTTTCTAATAGAATAGTGTTGAGTTTTATATTTATTGTGTTTATTATTTATTGAGAGTAATAATGGAATAAAATATTTTAAAAGATTTTAAAAATAAAACGAAGAAAACCAAGCCACAGCAAACTGGCACCTCCAGATTCAACCACCTGAGCTTTTCCTACTCCTTGTCACATCCACAGGCAGGGAACACAATGTCAACAAGAGCACTCAAAAAAACCCTGCAAGAATCACAGGGAAAATATTCCAAAAGCCCTTTAACTACTTACTGTGACTATTTCTACAACTGGAAATGTGACACAAAAAATTACTGGGCTAAAGCCACCAGAATTCCTACAAGAGAGGATCATTTTTATGGGATGGAAAAGAGTTTTGTTGAAATTGTGTAGTGATTGTCAGCATATAGAGGAACTTTTTTTCAATACATGCAGCATAACTCTTCCCAAAGCAACTAAACCCAATTCCTAAGGAGAAAGGGATAAAATTTCAATAACAAATGTTCCTGATTTGCAAAATCCATCAGCTACTGAAAGGATATATTGTATGTAAGAAATGCATTTACATTCATGCAATTATATAAATGCTATTATCTTAATCAGCAAAGAAACCCCAAACTCTGGAGGATGGAATTTTACCCCCTGAGAGCTGCACACTCGCTTGAAATATTGATTTACTTTTGCTTTCTACCTGGAAATTCTGGAACAGACACGCCATGGGGTTTGGGTTGTTGGCTGGGCCAGGGATTTGGGGCTGGCCCTGAAAGCCCTGCACGCTCTGGTAGCCCTGGAGAAGGTGCTGCTGCTGCTGCTGCTGCTGCTGCTGCTGCTGATTATTTGCAGGAAACATCTGATTGTTGCTGAGGAGTGACTGGAGATGGCTGAGCTGATGGTTGTTCAGAGTAGTGTTCAGAGATGACATTTCCCCTGCAAGGCAAGCACAGGCAAACAGCCCTCAGCAATTCCTGTGCTCCAAAAAACCTCTGGGAAACAACCCTGCTCCCTCCATCCCCTGGGCACGGGGCTCTGCTGCTTTTAAATTAGCCAATATTGGGTCTTTTGTGTCACCTCTGCTGATTCTGGGACAGCAGGGATGGCAGGAGGAGCTTCTGTGGAATTCCAGGCCTTGGAATCTCAGTGAAACACTGCTGGGGTGGTGAGGGGATGAGGAGGGGAGAGGGAGAGAATGACACAAACATTTAAACTCCAAACAAAATGAGTTTTTCACCAGCTGTGAAGGAGAAAAGGCTTGTTTGGCTCAGCCATGTCACACAACACTCTAAACAACAAGCTTTTACATTCTAGAGTCAAAGTTGAATTAACATTTTTATTACACAAGAATTTCACTTTACGTGAACATTTTACCTCTTAAAAAAAACCCCCCACACAGTTGAACCTGACTTTATGAAATAACAAAGCTTAAAATGCATAAATTTTCTGGTTGTTTCTTTTCTAAAATTAAAATCTCGTGTTTTCCATAAAATTCCCATTTGGAAAGTCACTGTTAGATGCATTTTGTATGGAAAATGCCAAGTGGGTTGAGTTCTCTGTAGCTGTTTAGGTCAGCGTGAGGCTTTATTTAATTATTATTTAATTCCCACCAGGAGTACATTACAAACAGAGGAGTACCTACTCTATTATATGTTTTTGGTAAAAATAACTGAAAAATCATCACCCAGGAGGGAAAAACTTTGTATTTAAGGGGTTTTTCATCACTTGCTTTGGGATGTTGGTTGTTTGCCATCTCCAGCACAGCTACTCCTGCTGTCACAGGCACTCCCAGCTCACCCAGGGATGCTCCTCAGCTGCCACTCCTTGAACAATGAAACAAATCCAGTTGCTCACACAACTTTCAGGTGGATTTAGTAGGTTTAGTTGCCAGAATTAATAATTTCCAAGATCAATATTAAACATTAGGGAACGAAAGCAGAAAGCGGTTTTAATTTCTTACAAGAATGATTGCTCAACGAACAAGCTCCAACAACACCAAGAAAAAAGAAAAGAAGATAGAACCAGAATCTGAAATTCTGAATCTGAAAACATTGTGTCCAGTTCCTCTCAGTTTGGGAAGGATTTTGGAATGCTGGAGTGTGTCCAGAGAAGGCAACAAGGCTGGAGAGGGAACACAAACCCCGTGAGGAGCCCCTGAGGGAGCTGGGGGTGCTCAGCCTGCACAAAAGGAGACTCAGGGGTGCCCCCATCACTCT